CCCATGTCACCGCTCCAAAGTGTCCCTCTGTCCTCCCTCGGTGTCCCTATGTCACTGTAAGCAGAGGTGGATCCTGCATGGAGGGATTTGGAGCAGCTGGGTCTCCTTGGACCCCACTGCCACCAGACAGCTGGGCTGGGGATGACCAGTGACAGAGCCCAGTGCCCGTAGTGGTGCCTGTCACTGGTGCCCAGTGGTAGTACTGATGTGTGTGACTGGTGCCCAGTGGCAGTACTGATGTGTGTGACTGGTGCCCAGTGCTGGTATCAGTGTCTATGACCAGTGCCCGGTGATAGTAACTGGGTTCTGGTCCCCAGTGTCTGTGGATGGTCCCGGTGGATGGTCCCAGTGCCCAGTACAGGTGCTGGTGCCCAGCACGAGTGACAATGATGGGTATCTGGTGCTGGTGCCAGGTTGTGGTGCTGCTCTGCAGTGCTGGTACCCGGTGTGCAGCACCAGTGCTCAGTGCTGGGGTGGGGTGCTGATACCCAGTACCCTGGGTCAGTGCTGGGGGTCAGCGTCCTGTGCAGTGCCCAGTACATGGTGCTGGGTGTCAATGCCCAGTTTCTGGTGTGGTGCCTGGTGCTGGTACCCAACACAGTGCCTGGTACCTGTGCTGCATGTCTGTCGGTGCCCTGTTGTGCCCAGCAACCAACATCAGTGCCTGGTTCCTGCTGTCAGGAACACCCAACACCAGATGTCAGTACCCAGTGACATCCTGCAGTTCCCACTGCCCTGTGACAGCAGCCGACAGCCAGTGCCAGTGTCCAGTGCCAGGACCCCACACCCACTGTCAGTGCCCCCTGCCCCGGGTGCTGGCTCCCGATGTCAGGGCCCAGTTCCCAGTGTCAGTGCCCTGTGCCATTGCTCAGTACCCTGTGTCAGTTCTTGGTGTCAGTGCCTGCTGCTGGTGCCCTGTGACAGTACCCTGTACCCAATGGCAGTACCCGGTACTGGTTCCCGCTGTTGTGCCCAGTGCTGGTGCTGGGTATCACGCCCTGTTTCCTGTGTCAGTGCCTGTTTCCCACTGCTGGTACCGGGTCAGTGCCCTGGTTCCCATGGCTAGTACCCAGGGCCAGTGCTCAGTTCCCGGCATTCCTGCAGCTCCTGGTGCTGGTACCCAATCTCAGCCCACAGTTCCCGGTGTCAGTGCCCGGTGCCGGTACCCAGTTCCCGATGTCAGTGCTCAGTGTCAGTGCCCCGTTCCCGATGTCATACTCAATGTCAGTGCCCGGCTCCCGGTGTCATACTCAATGTCAGTGCCCGGCTCCCGGTGTCAGTGCCCGGCTCCCGGTGTCATACTCAATGTCAATG